ACAACAATGTGTGTAGGTGTGTGTGGCGCATGCGTGCATTTTTAAAAAAAGGTCTTCATGTTCATTTCCACATTCACTAGTGAATAAAAAAGCAACATTTCACCTAGATTTCCTTTAATTCCACACATTTAAAACATGTTTCTCACCAAGTTTGTGTAAATTCAGCTGTGGGTTTAAAGTAATTTTAACTTTAATACACTTTAATACAGAGCGTCAAGTCGGCACATTTGTGTTTATAAAGAAATAAAAAACATCCCCACTGGACCTTTTTACTTGTGTTCAACACTACTCATCTAAATGATGTTTCTCATGAACCTTGAGGACAATAAGGTGTGGGGTTTTAAAGGCACTTCAACTTTAATGCAGCTGAACACACAGCGTCTCTTACACCTGCAGCGTCTTACAGCGTCACAATTACTGCTAAGCTAACATGCTACGTAGCGCTCCACTTCTCCTAATATGTATTTACATGTATATATGTTTATGATCAAATCCCCGGTCAACAACTGCCCACACAAATCTCGCTAAACTGCTGAGAGAGTAACACAGAGGTGTTTCCATCTCCTCCACCTGTGCGAGTTTTCTGCTGAAGCAGGAGGAGACGTACATAAACACTGCAGGTGTTACACCATATTCTGTGACCACCATATATTGTGACTGTGACAACAGGCTGCTGTGTTTAGAGTTGGAAGTAACCAGGAAAACCTGGAGTGAAGTTTTAGTGGTTTGAGTATTCTGCTATTAATCATGTGGAATGGATTTGTTCACGAAGAAAGAGAAACTGCGCTGCCTGAACTAATGCTTTATAGAAAAGTGTGTGTGTGTGTGTGTGTGTGTGTGTGTGGGGGGGGGGGGGGTGCCAGTTAAAAGTTTTTGGAATGGGGGGGGGGGACTTGTCCCCTTCACATATAATGGTTGCGACGCCTATGTCCAGCAGTCATTATACGAGAGGTGAGTGCACTCTGGACAAGTCTCCAGTCAATCACAGGGACACATAAAGACAAACAACCATTCACTCTCTCACTCGCACCTAGGGACAATTTAGAGTTACCACTGAGTCTAACATGCATGTTTTTGGTCTGTGAGAGGAAACTAGAGTACCCAGAGAAAACCCACGCATGGTACCCAGAGAAAACCCACGCATGCACGGAGAAAACATGCAAACTACACCCAGAAAGGTCCCGGGCTGGGATTTGAACCGGTGACCTGCTTGCTGAGAGGCAACAGCTCTACCAACTGAGCCACCTGCCTATTGCAAATGAGCTTTAAAAAATGCAGATGAGCATTTTTTTAAATATATGTAAAAGTATTATATCCATCCATCCATTATCTTTACCCGCTTATTCCATTTTGGGTCACGGGGGTCGCTGGTGCCCATGTCCAGCAATCACTGTGCAAGGGGTGGGGTACACCCTGGACGGGTCGCAAGTCCATCACAGGGCCACATAGAGACAAACAACCATTCACTCTCTCACTCTCACCTAGGGACAATTTAGAGTTACCAATCAGCCTAACATGCATGTTTTTTTTGGTCTGTGGGAGGAAACCGGAGTACACGGTGAAAACCCATGCATGCACGGAGAGAACATGCAAACTCCACCCAGAAAGGCCCCTGGACCGGGGTTTGAACCAGGGACCTGCTCGCTGAGAGGCAGCAGCTCTACCAGTTGCGCCACCGTGCTGCCCAAAAGTATTATATATAAAATGCAAAGTTTCAGCTACATGTACAATTGGTGATTAAAATCTTTTGTTTGTTTCCTCCTGCATCTTCAGAGATTTAACTTATCCTCTGACATCCCATGGATGTATCATTTTTATTACTCTTTTATTTCTAAGTAACTTGAACAAGAGAAAATTACTGATCAATATCCGCCTCTTTTATACTTCTTTAAATTAAATGTTTTCACAATGGGATTAGGGTTTAATCATGGCATTGCACAATGAAATATTTGCTTTAATTTCCTCTATTATCCCAAGTCACATTCAGCACAAACCTTTGTTATGGAGCAAACTGCTCTGTTTTCAGATGACCTGCAGTTTTACAGATGGTTGCTCAAATCCAAAAAGCTGCTTCTTGACTGAGTGATGCTGTCAAATTCCCCTCCTCCTGCTGTGATCTCTCTAGCCCCAACTCTGCTCCTTGTGTATGCTGCTGTACAAAGAGCAGCAAAAAGCACAAACTTAAGCTGGCTGGCATACTATTAGTGCTGGCATGCTATTTGATATGGTGGGAATCTTATGTTAAATCCCCCAAGAGTTCAACATAACTGCCTATGGCTATGGACGCATTTCAAAGAAATGTTTTCGTCCTTTTTGTGTGTGTGTATACACATATGTCCACCTCACATAGTTCAGTGCTCATTATGTGTGTGATATGTATGGGTGGAGAATTATAGGGCTAAATGTTGCTGTCCTCGGTTGAGGCATTTGCAGCACCCCAGTAGAAGTTTCCACTTGAATAATGTGATTACGTGTTGTGCAAAATCTGGGGGCTGCAGTGTGTCATCAGTGCATATTGTGTGACAACACTTGATTCTGATTGATGATTCTCAGTTTAGCTGATTTTTTTTTTTTTTTAATCTAGATTAGCTTGAGACACAACTTTTGGAGTTATTTTTGTCATTAAAATTTTAGATCTTGTAATTTATTACTCAAAAACTTTGTCAATAATCCTAAGGAGTGCTGTAATTTTATGTGTGGTTTCAAAACCTTTCACGATTTGACCCAAATCATAAGAGTTTCAGAGACTTAAGTCTGACCGCAGCCTGAGCAGCTCACAAAACTCCTTTCTGGATAATTACTTAAACATGTGGGCAAAAAAAACAAGTTTTGTCCAAACCTTGTGTGGGGAACCGGGCCTAGGTTCTCCTAGGAGAATAAAATTATATTGCTGTTGTCCTGCAATGCATCAGAGACAGCTGATTTCTTAATTTCTTTTTTGGTAAAGATAAATCCAGCTTTATGATACCAAATATCACTTGCTGAAGTTAAAATTTATCACTAATATTCTAGTTAATCAAGGGTTGGTGTACAACACAAACAGCCTCAACATCTATTTCACTATTTAACCACTTTTTATTAACATATCTCTTTCAAAAATTGTGGTAACATGTATGATCTGTACTTCTATATGTACTACTATAATTTAGAGGCGTAGAGTCTATAGTTGTAATGTTAGAAATCCAACAACAGTACTTATTAATCCCTTAAAAACTCTTCTAGTCCCTCAAAATAGTATGTAGTTTTAAGGAAGTGATGCTCAGGGTTTTAAAAATAGCTCAAATGTCGACTCAAGGATACACCAAACGACTCCTTCCTGCATCTCCCCTCACCAGCAGTGAACCGGCCTGCTATGCCTCTTCCATCTTTGCACACAGACTTTAAAGTGTTTTTCTGTGTCCTGTTTTTGGTGTAGTTCAGCTGTGATTGTTAGAATCACACCACTTTTCAGAGAGGAAGAGCTTATTGTGCCAGAACAAATGCAGGTGCAACCTTCAAAATAAAATAAAATTGTGCAAGGCAGCCATAATTGGGTGACAGTGATAGTTTGCAGAGATACAGGGAATGTCAATAAGAATGCAACAGGCAATAAAAATGATCTCTTGAACACGGTCACATTTATTTTGTCTCCCAAAAACAATTAAATTCAATTCAGTCTATGTATACTGCGCCAGTTCACAACAGACGTCATTTCAGGGCACTGAACAGAAGCATTCATATATATAAAAATCAGTTAATAACAATATTTATCTAAAGAGCTAGCAGACTGCTTCGAGTTATCACTTCATCGCAGTCTCCCATCCTAAGCAAGCACAGACGCAACAGTGGAAAGGAAAAACTCCCTCATGAGGAAGAAGCTTCAAGCAAAACCCGGCTCAGGACAAGCAGCCATCCATTTAGGCCGGCTGGGCTCATCCGGCTGGGCCGGAGAGGACAGGAAGGAGAAAAGAACACACAATGACAGGTCAAGGATGGAGGCCATCAGGTTTTTCTTTAGGAGGAAAAACAAAAAGACAGAAATCACACGTTAAGAAGGAATACTTACAAATACAAACTATTCATTTGTATGTATTTGTAACTGGTCATTTGATGAAATGAGGTCAATTTGTCCTCCAGTAGTCTAAGGTTATAGGAGCATAGGATAAGGAATAGGTCAGAAAACCAAGCCAACTATAGGATTTATCAAAGTCTTAAGCCCAGTCTTAAAACTGGACAATATATCAACATTATGGACAGAAACTGGAAGTTGGTTCTACAAGAGAGGAACCTGATAACTGGAAGAACTTCCTCTCATTCTGCTTTTAGAAACTCTAGGAACCACATGTAAGCCTGTAGTCTGAGAACAAAGTGTTTTGTTAGGAAAATATGAAACATTAAGATTTGTAATATAAGATGGAGCTAGGCTGTTGAGAGCTTTGTAGGTTAGAAGTAAGATTTTGAAAAAACAACAATAAACAAACAAACAAACAAAATGGCTGACCCATGTTTCATCTCGTATGCTCTGATTATTGTTATTAGCTGATTTATAATAAGGCCATAAACTAAAATCAGAACATGTCAGTTTTGCAGTCTTTGCAACAAGAATAAAACACAACTAAACATAAATTTTTCACCTAATGTTGTTCCCTGACTGTAATTGCTCTGATGATTTAAAGCAAAAACATTTATGTTTAGTGTTGTAAGTTGTGTAAAAACATCTTATGACCATACTGATAAAATAAAAAATTACATTTGTATCCTCAAGACTTTCATAAAAAATGTAGATATTAAACACAACTCTTAAGTGCAGACAATTGTTTAGTTCTTGAGTGACATTGAGAGAACTCTGAATGAGATTACTGTATCTGGATGCTGTGTTGTGCTGCAGTATGAACTGCTACAGGTACAGTGTTACGTCCATTTTCTCTGAATCAGCAAACAGTTTATAAAAAAGTGTAATTTGTGTTTTGCAACTGGCAGTTATTGTGAGATAATAACACAAAAATGTGTTTGTCTTACAGAAATACAAAGAGTTTGAGCACGCAGTGCGGGTGGAGGAGATTGACGGGCTACGGCTGGTAAAGAGGTTGGCAAAGAACATGGAAGAGATGTTTCACAAGAAAGCCCAGGCTATGAAGGTACTGAGTCTTCCTCCATTACACTTAAGAACACAATTACTATGATTTTTTTTGTCCGGTCACAAAGCCAGTTTTGTTACAAACCAGTGACTTTTGGTGTCTATTTTTCAGTTGCATTTCAAAATGTGTGAAAACTGTGAGCACATAATCTGTTTACTGGCCATGATACTTTCATATTTATTGGAAATTGCTCTGTGCATGGTGAAACTTGTTGTGCAGGGTTTTCCCAATCAATTTACACAATTATTTTTGGAAGCTTTGCATTATATACATCACTGTCAACAGCGCTGCTAAAAACATGACTTGATTTTTGAGCCTAGTGTGGCTGAAGTCTGGAGGAGGATGTGCAGGTTTTGCATCAGTGACAAGTGGAGTAAATGGGTATAGGAGGAGATTTTTAGTTTATATGAATATGTTTGGAATGAAGAAAAGACATGGTCAGAATGGCAACTAAGTTATGTTGTTCTAAATTGAATGAATGCAAAATAGAGCAATGAGTAACTTTTCACCCAAAAATGTCAGGTTTTACCTGCAGCGCCAAAATATTTAGCAGCTTTTTTTGTTTTATTTATGTTTATTTATCTGAGTTAATGATAACACTCATATAGAGGTGCTGGTCATCAAATTAGAATATAATGAAAAAGTTTATTTATTTCGGTAATTCCATTCAAAAAGTGAAACGAATATTAAATTCATTCATTACACACAGGCTGATATATTAAAAATGTTTATTTCTTTTAATGTTAATTATTATAATTGACAACTAATGAAAACCCCAAATTCAGTATCTCAGAAAATTGGAATATTGCTTAAGACCAATAAAGAAAAGGATTTTTTTAGACATGTTGGCCAACTGAAAAGTATGAACATGAAAAGCATGAATATGTAGTTGGGGCTCCTTTTATCTGGATTACTGCAGCAATGTGGCGTGGCATGGAACCGATCAGTCTGTGGCACTGCTCAGGTGTTATGAGAGCCCAGGTTGCTCTGATAGTGGCCTTCAGCTCTTCTGAATTGTTGGGTCTGGTGTATCACATCTTCCTCTTCACAATACCTCATATGGGGTTATGGTCAGATGAGTTTGCTGGCCAATTAAGAACAGGAATACCATGGTGTTTAAACCAGGTACTGATAACTTTGGCACTGTGTGCAGGTGCCAAGTCCTCTTGGAAAATGAAATCTGCATCTCCATAAAGTTGGTCAGCAGCAGGAAGCAGGAAATGCTCTACAACTTCCTGGTAGACAGCTGCGTTGACTTTGGACCTCAGAAAACACAGAGGACCAACACCAGCAGATGACATGCAGTGTTTCCCCTACCATTATACAAGCAGGGTGCCCCACCCCATCAACAGAACTGAGCACCCTGCCTACAAAACCGAACTTGCCCCCCACCCACACCCAGTACTGACATAGCACTAAGCTAGTGGCATGAAATACAGGCTCTCTAGCTAAAAAGCTAAAGGCAGTGCTCACATTGCCTCTTCTCTAAAGCTGACCCCCCCCCACACACACAGACACACACACACACACATACACTCAAAAACTGTCTGTATAAACAGGGCACGTGTCACGCTAAGCTAGCAGCGTGCAATACAGGCGCTCTAGCTAAAAAGCTAAATTCGCCTCTTCCCTTATGCTGAATGCCCTCCTTGTGCAAGGTTTCAATTGTCGTATTTTGGACAACTGTCAAGTCAGCAGTTTTCCCCACAACTGTGTACAGAAATAGACTGAGAGACCATTTAAAGGCCTCTGCAAGTGTTTTGAGTTAATTCGCTGATTAGAGTGTGGCACTAGGTGTTTTCAATATTGAACCTTTTCACAATATTCTAATTTTCTGAGATACTGAATTTGGGGTTTTCATTAGTTGTCAGTTATAATCATCAATTAAAAGACATACACTTTTGAAATATATCAGTCTGTGTGTAATAAATGAATATAATATACAAGTTTCACTTTTTGAATGGAATTACTGAAATAAATCAACGTTTTCATGATATTTTAATTTTTTTAAACCATTAAAAATTACCATTAAAAACATTGCTAGAATTGCCTTCTTCCACCTGTGTAATATTGTTAATATCAGAAACATCTTATTTAAAAATGATGCAGAAAAACGGGTTCATGCATTTTTCACTTCTAGACTGGACAGTTACAATATTTTGTCATCTGGGTGTCCAAATAATCTTCAGTTAATCCAAAATGCTGCTGCCAGAGTCTTAACAGGAGTTAGTAGGAGAGATCATATCTGTCCAGTTTTAGCTTCCCTCCACTGGCTCCCTGTCAAGTCCAGAATTATTATTATTCAAAATCTTACTTCTAACCTACAAAACTCTCAACAACCTAGCTCCATCGTAGATTTGAGATCTTATTGTTCCATATTTTCCTAACAGAGCACTTCACTCTCAGACTGCAGGTTTACTCGCGGTCCCTGGAGTTTCCAAAAGCAGAATGGAAGGAAGATCTTTTAGTTATCAGGCTCCTCTCTTGTGGAACCAACTTCCAGTTTCTGTCTGTGAGGCTGACACATTGTCCAGTTTTAAGACTGGACTCAAGACTTTCTTTTATGATAAATCCTTTTGATAATCATATTAAGCTTAGCCAATTAGAGGACAAATTGACCTCATTTCCTTAAATGAATAGTTCAAATTGAATAGTTTTCATTTGATACTATTTCTATTTTAACATGTGATTCTTGACCTGCCATTGTGTATCTGTTCTTACCAAACCCAGCCGGTCAAAGCAGATGACCGCTTGTCCTGAGCCTGGTTCTGCTAAAAGTTTCTTTCTCATGAGGGAGTTTTTCCTTTCCACTGTCGCCTTCATGCTTGCTCAAGATGAGAGTTCTGTGATGGAGTTAAACTCAAAGCAGTCTGCTCCTCAGATAAATAGTGTTAAATTATTATTTTTATGATTTTTTTAAAGTATATATTTTATACATAAATGTTTCTGTTCAGCGCCCTGAGATGACTTCTGTTGTGACTTGGCGCTATATAAATGAACTGAATCGAATTGTGACCAGCACCTGTATATATAATCTTAGCTAAAACCATTATTGTAAAGATAATTAGATTTATATTTATAATTTGTGCTTCATCTCCCTCTCTGGTTGTTTGTGCTGTTCCAGGCACATTGCTTTGGCTTGTATTTTTTATTGACTAGTTTGATCTGTGTTTGATGATCAGCTCAGTTTTGTAATCTTCAATACTGAACTACACACTGATAGTGCCTAAAACTTTAAATCTATTTTACAACATAAAACTGGCAGTTTCATGACACATTTTTGCATGATATCTCAAAGTATCATGCATTAACATAAAACAATAGTTATTCAAATGATTTAAAACTGAATTTAATTACATGTATTTTTGATGGTTATTTCCTCCATTTTTCCTCTCAAGGTGGTGGTGTTGTGTGTGTGTGTGTGTGTGTGTGTGTGGGGGGGGGGGGGTACATATCTGAAACAAAATGAGCAACAAGCTTCACTCCACCAATCTCCAAATAAACAAGCAAAAAATAAGGTTTTATTTGTTTTTATGAAAAGTGTTTTAGTCAACTTTGACCTTTTTCAACTATAGTTTCAGTTTTTCCTTACTAGAAACAAAAAATGCAGATCATATATTATTTAAACTTGTTTAAACTTTTAAGAATTGTTTAACTAACACTAGCTAATTTGTGACTAAAACATTTAAGTCAGGAATCTCAGAACTAAATGTAGCCATTCAGAATTATCTACACTTTTCCTAAGATTCCTGTATTTCTTCCACCTCTTTGAGTATGTGTTTGTAACTTCACACAGACGAAAAGGCCTTGGGAATCCATCCGTTCATTGATCCTTGGGCATGTGTGCCCCCCTGAGGGTAAATGGATGTGTTTGTCAGAGTTGTAACAGGTGTCCTCAGAGCTCTGCCTTTTCTGGCTGCAGCTTTTCCTTCAAGTGATAGATCTTATCAGAATAACTCGGCCCTGTTAACAGAAATTGGATTTCTCTGAGAGTCTGATCCAAGAATGCACTGGTAAAAAGGAAAGGAGCTGAGGCAGAGGAAACTGAAAACTGACAAGACATGTTTGCACTTAGCTCACTTTGCTTGTACTTTTTTCTCTTTTACATGTTTTCTAACGTGTCTATTTCCCAGTGTTTCAGTCACATTAAGAAGATTGTTGTCATTTGTACTAGGGGTGCACCGATTGCAGTTTTCTGACCGATCACCGATTTCTAAAAAGCCTGACCTGCCGATTCCGATTTTGGCCGATACCGATTTTGTTTTATAAGCGACGCTGTCAGGTGTTATAAGGTCACAATGTACCTTCAATTTTCCAATCTTATTTTATTGAAAACATGCCCTTGAATAATATCCTAGTAACAATACAAAATTATTTTAACTGGCCATGAGGTAGTGCCCTGAAATATAAATGAAGTTCAGACAATTGTTGTTTAAACTAAAAAAAAAAAAATCGTTAAAATCGGTTTCTCATGCAAGTATCGGCCGATTTCCAATTTCCGAAAATTAAGGAAATCGGGGCCGATAAATCGGCCGTCCGATTGCACCTCTAATTTGTACCACATGCACATCTCAAAGCACACAAAACTATCCAGCCTTGTATGAGTCGGCTGACATTTAACAGGATTACATATACTCCTATAAAGTTATTGTTGGCATGAAAGTAATATTTTAATGGAACGTTGTTGCTACTCTGCACTGATTTGTTTTTCATCGTATTAATGAACATTATTACTGCAATTAAACCAGTGTCATGCGCTTTCAAGATTATCATCTTTTGATTTCAGAGCAAACTGACTAGTCAGCCTTCTGCAACGTTCTGATAAACCTGCTTCATGACAAAAAATACGATTAGATTAATTACATTTTGTGACACACTTTAATGTCTGCCGTCTACTTGAAAGTGCAGTGAAACAAAAACAACCTTATCTCGAAAAATCATGAAGTTTTGTACTTTTGATCAAACCTTAAACGTAATGTTATGCACGAGCACGACTGTAC